TAATAAATTTTCCCTAAATTTCCGTACTTTTCGGTCATTTTTGCGTTGTAGTATGCGCAATTAAGAATTCCGGAAGACGAAAATTGATAGAACTTATAACTTTTATATGTACTAAGTGATATTAATAAATTTCTATGCATTATCAGTGGCGTACAGCCTGTGATAATAAATTTTCCCTAAATTTCCGTACTTTTCGGTCATTGTTGTGATATAGTATGCGCAATTAACAATTCCGGAAGACGAAAACTGATAGAACTTATAACTCTTTTTTTTTGTACTAAGTGATAAATATTAATGTCTATGCACTATTAGTGGCGTGCAGCTTGTGATATCAGATTCCTTTGAAATGTAGGTATTTTCTGATCTTTTTTAATGATAAACTCTATAAATAACAATTTGTCAAAGACGAAACGTGCTTCAACTGTTGTACGTTTTTATTTTTTATTCTGTTTACCCTGCCATTATTGGTGTCGTACAGCCTATTTAATTGGAATGTTAAAAAATTTTTGTCCATTACGGATATTTTTACAATGAAATATTCAACAACATATTTAGTTGTCGATGACGGGAAATATACATTATTAGTTATTTTATCGAGCTAGTACTAAGAATATAGTTTTTGTATGGACGATTTTTTATTTTTTAAGTCATTTGTACTTGCGTATACAGTTTATTTTAACTTTGTTGGGTTATTGGGTTATATGGGTCATTGTTATATCGTGACGGTATCATAAAGAGGAACTCTTTTTTGATAGTTTTTATGAGTTATTACATAGACAAACACTTACCTTTATCCATATACACTNAGAGAGAGGGCCCGTAAAGCCTATGTATTACATCTATTGCAGTTTTAGAAGTCAATTATGATAGCTAAGTGGGCTGCATGCGCCGAATGGTGTTTTTTTGCAGCTGTAGACATAGATCGAGTCCCAACTAGGAAATTTTTTTTTTTTTTTTATGTTACAGTGTACATTTTCATTGAAAATTCATGCAGATACAATTGGAACATTATAAAATAAAATAAAATTAAACAAGAAATGAAAACAAAAAATTAAATAAATGAATAAAATATAAAGGAAATCAAAACAACAAACCAGGGAGGATAAATAGTACTGTATTTATGCATGACGTTCTCACGAAGTTCAACCATCGTGAGTACTGAACTATTTTTTTTATTCGTTTTTCCAGTTTTTGTTTAGTGAACTACATAAATGCAGTACTAACGTTTATAGAGCTTTGTTCTTCCTACGGGTCTGGCGACCCCCTTGTTACCTGAGAAATTGTTTTTTTAGACTTATGTCATGTTTAAAAAACTTCGTTTTTACCGTGGGTAAAATTTTCCCTAAATTTCCGTACTTTTCGGTCATTTTTGCATTATAGTACGCACAATTAACAATTCCGGAAGACGGAATTTAATATAACTTATAACTTTTATATGTAATAAGTGATATTAATAAATTTCTATGCATTATTAGTGGCGTACAGCCTGTGATAATAAATGTTCCCTGAATTTCCGTACTTTTTGGTCATTTTTCCGATATAGTATGCACAATTAACAATTCCGGAAGACGAAAATTGATAGAACTTATAACTTTTATCTGTACTAAGTGGTATTAATCAATTTTTATGCATTATCAGTGGCGTACAGCCTGTGATAATAATATTTCCCTAAATTTCCGTACTTTTCGGTCATTTTTGCGTTATAGTATGCCTAATTAACAATTCCGGAAGACGAAAATTGATAGAACTTATAACCTTTATATGTACTAAGTGATTTTAATCAATTTCTATGCATTATCAGTGGCGTACAGCCTGTGATAATAGATTTTCCCTAAATTTCCGTACTTTTCGGTCATTTTTGTGATATAGTATGCGCAATTAACAATTCCGGAAGACGAAAACTGATAGAACTTATAACTTTCATATGTACTAAGTGATGCCAATTAATTTCTATAAATTATTAGTGGCGTACAGCCTGTGATAACAAATTTTCCCTGAATTTCCGTACTTTTTGGTCATTTTTGCGATATAGTATGCGTAATGAATAATTACGGAAGACGAAAATTGTTAGAACTCATAACTTTTTTTTTTTGTACTAAGTGATAAATATTAATGTCTATGCATTATTAGTGGCGTGCAGCTTGTGATATCAGATTCCTTTGAAATGTAGGTATTTTCTGTTTTTTTTTAATGATAAACTCTATAAATAACAATTTGTCAAAGACGAAACGTGCTTCAACTGTTGTACGTTTTTATCTTTTATTCTGTTTCCCCTGCCATTATTGGTGTAGTACAGCCTATTTAATTGGAATGTTAAAAAATTGTTGTCCATTACGGATATTTTTACAATGAAATATTCAACATCATATTTAGTTGTCGATGACGGGAAATATACATTATTAGTTATTTTATCGAGCTAGTACTAAGAATATAGTTTTTGTATGGACGATTTTTTATTTTTTAAGTCATTTGTACTTGCGTATACAGTTTATTTTAACTTTGTTGGGTTATTGGGTTATATGGGTCATTGTTATATCGTGACGGTATCATAAAGAGGAACTCTTTTTTGATAGTTTTTATGAGTTATTACATAGACAAACACTTACCTTTATCCATATACACTATATGAATTCTACTTTAATAGTTTTAAAGGCCTAAACGCATTTTTTACGCCTTTACACTTGAATCAATCTTTAAACTCTTATATCTCGAGAAGGGTACATTTTTATGATCTAAAAATTGCTGGGAGCCTTCCTTATCACTTGTTGAAGCATTTAAAGCATTTTAATTAAAAAAAAAAACAAAAAAATTTTTTTTTTTTTCGTTGCACGCAACGTTGCAAACTTCAGAGTCATTTACTTGTATATCGATTTCGACCACGAGCATGAGGACACATTTACGCCGGTAATCAATAATGTGAAGTGTGATTTGAAATTAGTTTTTAGTTGCGAAAGTCTATGCAAGAACGACGTTACGTTTACCCTGAAGTCCAGTCAGGAGTTTCAATCGTTTAAAATCAATCACTTTGAGTTATTTATCAAGTCTGGCTCTAAGTATTGGGAGCTGAAGTACAAGCGCAACCATCAAGTCTTTCAAGCAACACTAAGTTGCTCTACATGTACGAGCAAGTTCACTGTGTACTACAAATCAACTTTCGATCCAAGTGTCTTGGTACGCGGTTGGAAAGAAATGTTGGAAACCAAAAAGGTTAGCGATTTAACAATCATTGTCAACAACGAACGGTTC